CATCGACAGTTGGCAGCATTTTCGAACCCCACCGCCACACTGGGGGCGGGAAGTTCGAGTATGTTCTCTTTGGACAATCACGGAAGTTACATTTGGGGTATTCCAAACGCTACGTAGACCAATCCAACGAACGTGAACTTTTCGAAATGTGTGCGTTTAGTGGGCAATGGCCCTCCCTAACATCAGACACAAACCCCATGTCGATATCTGCGCTCGTTTGGGCACAGTAGTCAGAAGAAACGAAACTACCCCGAAACGTGAGAATCGCTCTAATACACATTGTTATCGCTGAGCAATCATGGTAATCATCAGGTAATCATGGTAATCGCTTGCGGCAATCGTGGTAATCTTTTGGTGATCATAGTAATCAGTAGGTAATCCTGGTAATCCTGGTAATCTTAGTAATCCTGGTAATCAAGGTAATTTTGGTAATCACGAATCCAGTGTACGCTAAAAATTTGAGTGGGTAACCCCTTGGCAAACCCACTCAATCTTCGAAAAAGGGGACCGACCGACTAAAAAATTTTATTCGCCCTATCGCTAGGTCTGGTCGAGACATTTCTAAAACTGTGCCGCAATCTGGTCCCCGTCACCGGCAACATCCTAAACACGATATAAAAATAGGCCTAAATTCAACAAAATCCACTCAATCTTCAAAAGAGGGGACCGACCGACTGAAAATTTTTATTCGCCCTATCGGCAAGTCTGGTCGAGACATTTCCGAAACTGTGCCGCAATCGAGTCCCCGTCACCGGCAACATCCTCAAAACGATTAAATAGGCCTAAATTTAGCAAAATCCACTCAACCTTCAAACAAGGGGACCGACCGACTGAAAATTTTCATTCGCCCTATCGGTAGGTCTGGTCGAGACATTTCCGAAACTGTGCCGCAATCGGGTCCCCGTCACCGGCAACATACTCAAAATCAATCATCATTTATCATCAAGAACCTATATAGCCCCAAAATCCGACTGACTGACTCCCTCACTCATCAAGAACCTATATAGCCCCAATCCGACTGACTCACTGACTCATTTACTCATAGAAATGTTTGGGGTCAAGGAGTAGTCGTGGAGACTTGCGGTTTTTTCCATTCGATTCCAAATTTAATGGAAAAAAATGGGGAAAGTCCCAAAGGTTGAAAATTTCTCACCGTTTTCGAGCAAACCTACTCAATCTTCTAAAAAGGGGACCGAATGACTAAAAATTTTGATCCGCCCCATCGGTAGGTCTGGTCGAGAATTTCCGAAACTGCCGCAGTCGGGTCCCCGCCACCGGCAATTGGGTAAATCATCATCAAGAATCTATATAGCCCCAATCCGACTGACTGACTGACTGACTGACTCACTTACTCACTCATAAAATGTTTGGGGTCAAGGAGTGGCCGTAGAGACTTGCGGTTTTTTCCATTCACCTCTATCCTTCTCAAAGCAGTCTTCAATATTTTCCGGACCTTGTATGCACCTATTTTCTGCCACAGTAGCCAATGCAATACAAGCTATCTATTTGGGCAGTAAAAGTAGCTTAATTTTATGGTCAAAAGCTGTTAAATAGACCTTTCAAAGAAGCAGTACATTTACCTCCTTAGAAAATTTGCCGTGCGGACTTACTGAAAATACTTCGGCACGCGCACCACACATGCGGGGGTCTGGGGGCGGAGCCCCCAGGGAGCAGCGCGAGTTCTGCAATAAAGCTGCTTTACCGAAAAAGGAAAACTTAAGAGATTTCTCATGGCATTGTTCTGGAGTACTCTTACTTTGTTAATGATCAATTGATTAGCCAGGCCCCAAATGGAGCACATATAGGACATGAAAGTAGGCATAGTATAGAATTTTCAACTGGTTATAAGGCACGGTTCGCCTCTAAGTCTGTATATCATTCTATTAGCAGTCCTTAGTGACGGCAGTAACTTGTTCACATGGGTTTCAAAGTTAAGGAGTCTGTCCAAGTGCACTCCCAGATATTTGACTTCATTTACTTTATCAATAGGAACATTGCCAATCTTGATATTTAAAGTAGCATTCAGCATGGAAGGTTTAGAAAATAAAACATAATTAGTTTTCTTCAGATTGAGAGATAGTTTGTTGGCAAGGAACCAATTATTCAGAAGGGCAAGGTCTTCATTGATATAGGATTCTAGTAGGCTAAGATCCTTCAATGACAGGTATAGTACACTCTAAAAAATAATATAGGATTTTGTAACGATCTTGATACAAAATTCTGTAACACGTCAGTCGAATACAAAAATTTGTATCCTTGATCCTAAATTCTGTATCACGTCAAGAATGTTACGAATTTACGAATCAGTGCTTCAAAATTCTAAAACTGATACAAAATTCTGTATTTTTCGTTTCAATATTCACAATCAGTGATATAGTTCCACGTAAAAATGCGATCTTTATGCAAATAACTGTAACTGATACAGAAAACCGTAACATATCGTTACAAGTTTACATATCGTCTGATGCAAAAATTAATAACGCAAATTTAAAGTCAAATTACGAGCTTAATTTTAACATGACAGTTGATCGGGCGAAAAGTCCTAACGTGGGGCGTGGTACTTCAGAAGCTTCGGGCCAGGAACCCTTACTGTCGCGCCGCAGGGCTCGTTTCCCACCACTACCTGGGCATGCAGCGTGCCCGCTCGGTGTCATCGACAGTCTGAGGCGTGCCTCCCCATACGGCGCTGTGGCGCAAGCGGTAGCATGACGAGCTGGCAATCCGGGGGACCGGGGTTCGGTTCCGGAGAACGCAGTTCGGTTTCTCCGGGTGTTCGGGAGTACAGGAGCGACGGAGCGAATGTGTAGGAATGAACCATCGTTGAGGTTCAAATTCTGTTTATAAAACGACAAATTTTTCTGATTTTTGCATTGCAGAATTCTGTAACCGGGAAACAGTTTACCGTAACGCGTGATAAAAAATTTTGTATCAGTGCTGATACAAAATTCTGTAACATTTGTAGTGGAAATTACTGCGTAACCATGTTACAGAATTTTGTATTGAAATTTTTTTGAGTGTACCGCATCATCAGCGCCCGGTGGTGGCCTGCAAGCTCAACTGAGTTGGATTTGGAATAGCTTTGTTTTTTTCTACTGCTGGTTTGCCAAATGGGTTGTAAGCTTTGTGGCAAGTAGAAAGTAAGGACTGGTCGGTGTCAGTATGACACCAGGTTCAGTGGGGTTAAAGTCCGTGTCATGTCAGTTTGACTCCGGAACGATTTTTAACTGTGTCGACTCCCCCATGATGTGTCATAATCGTCAGTTTCAATTGAAGGTTGTCACGAACAAGAACCAGGAACTGAAATTCTTGCCAAAGTTCAAAATGATAAAGTTAGTGTTATGTGTTGGTTAAAAATTAAAGCATTCAAGCTTAGCAAACAAACTATTGAGTGTAGATGCAGGCAATCAATTCAATTGAAGCAGCAATGCAAGCTGTGCAAGTGCGGTTCAGAAGTTGTCAGGTTTCCACCCTCGAGCAAGGATTACAGGAGCGAAAAGCAAGGTTAATAGATGTATAATAAAAAAATTAAATGAGCGAAGGCTTGAACAGAAAAGGGTGCGTACATATTCATAGTTTTTTCTTTTAAAATAAGATTTGCAACCCGTCGTAGAAAAAAGAACAAAGCGAACTAAAGCAAATACTACTCGCGTAGTAGACAGTTTACTTTACAGAGACAGTAACTTCACTGGTGTGCTAGCGGGCAGGCTGCAATGGAGTGGCGCTTGTTACGCAGGTAACACCACACTCGTGGTTTGCCTGTACGCTCCCCTTCTGTTGATCACCTGTGGTGGAGGGACTGATTGTTGGTGCACCGTGGGCTGCTTGATGAGGCACTGCTACTGGCGGTGGCATTGCAAGATGCTGAATGGCGAGCTTGATGTGCTGGTTTGCAGCTGCAGCCTCCTTGAATTATGCCGTCATAATTAGTCAGTCTAGTCCTGTACGTGCGCTGATTGATGAGCCCACTAGAACGAGTTAAGCAGCAGATTGCGTGAGTGCAGCTTCTGCTCTTTGTTCGCGTATGTTCTTCCTCCAGATAATTATCTGCTCTTTCTGCCAGCGACCCCGGGGTTTTTCTAATACAGGCGTGTATGTGCTTACAGATGTAAAGTCCTATCATATTGTCAGGACTGTCACATATGGCTTGGTGCACGCAGAACTTGCACAAAAGACATCGAAGAGCACAGCTGCAAAGTTTTGTCAAGTTTCTGGACAACACTGCCCTCTTGTAGAAACTGATGAAGCTCTTATTTTTGAATCTGGTCTTTCTTTGCTGCGTTTGTGACTGGCTGATGGATAGCATTATCTTTGTCGGTGCTTGTTCATACGAATGATCCTTTCAATCATTAAATCTTTTATGAACATTAGTAAAGCTGATATGCACTTATCCATTCTTCTGTTTTTGCGACCATCAAGGTATATGTACTTCAGCTTTCTGTGCATCGCTTCCTAGTACATGTTAGTATTGAGTCCTAGTCGGATTCTGTGGGCCCACATTTCAGGCCTCTGGGCGTATGTGGTCTTGCCCTTGACAAAATGTCACGTTCGTTTGAGCATTGTGTCACATTCGTTTGATTGTGAACAAGCTGATTTTTGGCAAATTCACACCCAAACGAATGTGACACAATGCTCAAACAAACGTGACATTATGTCACGTTCGTTAACGTGATGTCACGTTCCTGGAATGAGAGTGCAGCGGGCCATGCCGAAAAGAGTCCTTTGAAACTCATAAGAGAAAGTCTGTCCAATATCACAATGTATTAAAATATTAATACGTAATATTGAATACATAATACTACACAGGAATACAATGAACGTTAAATATCAAAAGTCAGTCAAGCAGTTTACTGCGCAAGAAACTGAAACAAACTATATAATATCTTATACAACTAATTCTTTCAAAAGTTCTTTCGCTAGTCTTAGACAAGAACTGGACATGGCAGTACACAAATTTGTAAAGGAAACTTTAAGTCAGCCGCATTAGCCATAATGACTGCTCAGTTCTAAACCTCCGCCGGGCTGGCTTGCCTAGCGCTCACCGTGGTGTGAACCTGTTTCAACACGCCGCCCAGTATGCCTGTGCCCAGTCTCCGTCGGTCGGTGGGCTTAACCGGATATTTAAACAACGCAGCGCGTCGGAGGCAGACGGATGACAGTGTGCGCTGGCGGCTGAGTCATGGGGATGGCACGGGAGGGCGGAGTCGGGCAGTCGTGGGGATCGTCTGCAAGTTTATGCATAAATAGAACTACTGCTTGGAATGCCGGTCGATTTCCTGAGCAGCCATAGTGTCGACGAGACTATGCAAGAACTCAAGAGCATCCTCCTGCTTGTCCAATTTCAAGTTCTTGTTTATCCCTCCATACAAAACAGGCGATTAATAGTTCCATGTTCAAATAACGCAACATCAGGATGTCAGATAAAAATGTACCTCCTAGTTTGTCCGTCAAAGGCTTGTGTGACCAAATCCACCATGTTTCTGAATGTGGTCTGGAATGAACACACAACACGGGTGCATCTGGACCGATTAAACTTAGCATGCTCATCAGAGAGAATCTTTATCAAATGAATGAATGGGCGTGTGTGTAGAAAAGCCTGAAAAAAACAAATAAAATGACAAAATATGCAAGGCACACAGGCGGAAACATTTGTACAATTACGTACCTGCACAGTCGCATTGAAATAACAAGAGTTCCCCAAATTCAAGAGGTCGCAGTGTGGTTAACCTCATACCATCCAACATTTTGGAACTCCTTAAAGATCTTTGCTGTTAAATCAGGGGGTTCCGTGTTCTTCGAAGAGTCGACCTGGAACCAAAAGCACAGACTTAAAACAGCATTATTCCATCACAACACCAAAACAAACCTATGCTTGAGCAGGAAGTCTGACACATTTTTCCCGTCATCAGGGTTGTCAAACGTTTCTGAGATTCATTTCCTCTAGAATTTACTTGATCTTATCCTGACCAATTTGGAGCTTTTCACTGACCCTATGACAGACAAAAACTTAGTTTGTAAAGTGTTAAAGGATATTTCTAACTAGCGCGTTACTCCACGTGATACTAGTAGCCTACATTGTCAAAAATATTTGAAGAGACACCCCTTCCTCCAGGTCATGCCAACGGAAAAATTAGGAATTTTACCTTTTTTTCGATTTTCGTTGAACCATTGTGGCAAATATACAGACTTTTCCGTGATCTCCCCGACTTGTGAAACAACCCTCTTTAATGGCCTTTTTTTTTCCTGCGGGCGGCAGGCCCGCACGTGAGGCTCAGCTTCCACCCTCTGCGCTCGACGCTGGCCTGGGCGCTGCTCCTGCACGTGGCGGGGCTGCTGTCGCTGCACCGCGTCCTCGCGACGGCCGAGGAGAACCTCCGCGTGGGCAACGTGGTGTCCTCGTGGTTCGTCTTCCCCGCGGTGCTCGCCATCGCGCACGTGTCCTGCTACCTGCTGGTGGTGACCATCTGGGCCGAGGCGCACCGCTACAAGGAGCTGGCCGCCCTCGCCGCCAAACTCGAGGTTGTTGCTCTGCTCGGGGCGCGCTCTCAAAATCCGCAGAACTACGGCCCCTCTGAGAATGGGAGGGTCATAAGAAGGCGAGGGGTCGTCAACTCACATCGCCCGTGCAAAGAAATACAGTAATATATGTGTGGCATTCGCACATAACAGCGTATCTAGCATGGGATTCCCTATGAAGATACGCTGTTCTGTCAGATGATCACTCAACATGCTCCCTCAACATCTTATGATCGTTTTTATACGTATTACGATGGTTTTTCATCTTAAGGTACGCATAAATTTGCACCTACGTAATATGCTTAATTTTTCATCGTATTACGCATGAATTTGATTGTAGTACGTATGTTCTCATTTCAACGTATGTTACAATGGCCCTTTCATCATAAGAATCTGAGGGTGTGGTAATATACATCCCATTGTACCGTTTTAGGCCCATTTTTCATGCTACCTATGCTCTAAGTAGTCTATTTGGTAATATTTATGGACTTGAAGCGGCGATAAATGAGTATTATACAAGTAATATACAGCCTGTGTACGAAGTAATGTGCAAGTTGACGACCCCTCGCCTCGCGTACATGACATTTTCATCAAAGCTCCGACACTTAGCCTAATGAATGAGTGAATGGGCGTGACAACTTTGTCATCGAATGTTTTGACGACATTCATGCAAGGAAAAGTAGCCTTGAAATTGTCATCAATTTTCGCAGTGTAGTTTGTAAACTCTGCACTTCCAATTGTGTAAACTGAAAATCCCACACCTACGCATTCCAAATGTGGATTCTCAATGCTCGGTTTCTCAGTGTGTGTGTTCCTGCCTCGCAGCGACTTATGGCTGACATGGGCATGCCGGAAGCAGGGGCGTGGCCGAAGCGAAGCACTTCCCGGATGGTGTGGGCCATGGTGGTCTTCATGCTGGCGTTCGGCCCCCTCACGACTGCACTGTGGCAATTCTGGGCGTCAGGCCAACAGGGCGAGGTATTTCATGCAGCGCAGCTTCGTGCGGGGAAATCTGCAAACCGAAGAGAGCATATGGTTGACTATAAGAATCAACCTGGTGTTCTTTAAGGTCCTAAAACCGCAGTTTGCAGATTCCTGCTAATCTAATTAGGGTCAGTTGGGGTAATTTTCGGACACAGGGTGAAAATGGGACGGCTGTTTCGAGCTCAAGATTCAACATTTTTGGCCTGATGCCAAAGCAAATGTAATGTTTACATTTGATACGGCGGCACCAATCCTGAAATGTCACAAATTTGGACCAGGAAACAGCTACATCTTCACCCTGTGTTACAGAATACCCGAACTGACCAAACATTGATTCTTGACGCAGGTCTACCGGATCCTCGCCCACTGCATGGCCAACGTCATGATGACCAGTGTCGTGGGGGGCTTCTGTTTGGTGCAGTTTATCATCCGGGACGCTGCCAATGTCCTGACTCAACGATTTGCTCGGGTAAAGCGCAAGCGGCCACGACTCACAGTGGGCGAGAAGACGGGCGCAGGCAGCCCCAACTCTAGGCGCACCTTGAGCTGCAGAGTCGCTAAACAGGACTCGAACCAATCGTGTGACCCTACCAGTGGATTCCTCGTTCTGCGAGCAATCCATTGGTGGGGTCACACTTTTGGTTTGAGTCACATTTAGCGACTCTAGAGCTCAAAACCCGTCCGCGATTTTTAGCGCCTCCACCGGTCTTCTGACCCACAGAGTGACTGCACGAACACCACGGGTAACACTGTGGTTCTTAAGGCTAAGAACATAACGTAGTGTACATGGTGCACGCTCAAAAACCTTCAGATGTATTTTGAGCATACAATCTAATTTAGTTTGTTATACGAGGAAATAGTTCGTAAATCACGAAGTATTTTCTTTGAAAGCTTGTGTATGCTCAAAATACTATGTCATGACAAACCACTTTTCTTTGTAAGGCCGAAAATAGTTTAAAAGGTTTTCACAGTGTGCACTGAGAGATTGTCGGTTTCAAATCAGGAATGAAAACTTCGGTCTGCGGATCAAAATGTGTTTCATCCGTCCAACCTTAACACAGGTACTAAAGTTTCGGTTCTACGCATCAAAAAATTTCGTTTCAGAGTTAAAAGTTTTGATTCCTAGAACCGAAACTTTAGTACCTGTGTTAAGGTTGGACGGATGAAACACATTTTGATCCCGGAGACCAAAGTTTTCGTTCTTGATGTGAAACAAATTTCTCAGTGTGCAATGTATCGAAACGTGGCACTAGTCGTGCAATGCCAGCCATCCCTAAACTGACCAAAAACTGAAATCTTACGGGCTCCTGGTGCGTCCACACTCCAGGACGTGCTTCGCGGGCTGTCCCCGTCCGAGATGGCTTGCTACCACAACGCGTGGCTCGCCCTGCGCGACCTGCTGGAGGGCGCCGTGGTGATGCCCGCCTCGCTGTCCTTCTGCACGCTGCTGCTCGTCCTCAACAACCTGCTGTGCCTGTACAACGTGGTGAACCGCATCCTGAGCGGCTCGCCGTGGGGCCGCACCCTGATCCTGCTGGTGCTCGTGCCCCACGTCTTCCTCATGGTGCTGAGCATGTGCTTGGCGGCGGACGCGGCTGTCTCGGCGGTACACACAGTGGACCAGGAGGCCGGCACTCTCATCCCAGGAACGTGACATCACGTTCAAACGAATGTGACAAAATGTCACGTTCGTTTGAGCATTGTGTCACATGTGAACTAGCTAATTTTTGGCCAATGCACACCCAAACTAATGTGACACAACGCTCAAACGAACGTGACATTTTGTAACGTTCGTTTCAACGTGACGTCACGTTCCTGCAATGAGAGTGTAACAGCTTGGCATTGTCGTACTCATAGCGGGTCTTGAAAAGACCTAGGTCTGTCTCCAGAGCATGGGACATTGAAGAGGATGTTCTGCGATGTGAAGTAACGTCAGTGTATGTATTTGTATTTTAACTCTCTTTGTTTCAGATTGGGAAATTTAAACTGCCCCTGGTCAAGCTGGATCCTACAAATGCTCGAAACACGTATGTGCGTGAGGTAAGGATGACAGATAATACACAGGTAGTAATATAAACAAATTTGGTTCGCATTATGTTTGCTCAAATTTCCTCGAACACTTCCGCCAAATTCACTGTACACGGTAAAAACTGTTCCTGGTTTTCCCAGGAAGCCTATGGTAGAAACATTGGCGATTTCCAGGCAGCACCTGGTAAAACCAGGAGCCGTTTTTACCGTGTAGGAAATGTGCAACTGTCAGACTGAATCTCTGAATCAGAGGGATCTCCGATTTCAGGTGTTTCGCGAGGTGCTGAGCTACTCCCCGGGGTCCGTGAGCGTTGCTGGATTCTGGTACGTGAACCGTCGGGCAGCGACATCCGTGCTGTGCGCCACCATCACATACCTCATCGTCCTCATCGAGTTGAGAGCTGAGCCACACTCAACAGTCGCTTGCAACAGGACGATTTCCTTCGATTGTGTGGAATGATTTACTGAACATTTTCTACCCTTACCCAACCGAAATCAACCGGAACTGGCCGAGGACACATCCAAAGCTGTCCAATATATTTATAGGAATGTTAACGAAACGTGAATGCTGACATGCTAAGGCACTTTAGGTGAAAGTAACAGGCTCCTTCCTCGCTCTAAAAAGTCTACGAAGCATCGCAACTACGAAGAACTATGAACAAATTTTCCATCTTACGAAGAATTTTGCTTCATAACAGGAAGCATTCCACCGTAGATTTTACAATGCCTTCCACTATTAAAAACAATGTTGTAATTTAGCAGTAAATATGTTGCAAATTTTCTGAACGATCAAATTTGTTTACAAATGACTTTAGTTGTTTACTAACAAACAGCCTCATTTGCATCAATTTTGATTGCTGATTAGGTCACCGACCTAGTAGAGTCCCGGTGACCCGCAGTTATCACTTCTTAGATTGTCCGGGTTGTTTGTACGCAGCAAAATATTGTTTTGAAACAGCATAAGTCATAAAAATAATAAGCAAAGAATTCGTCGTTTTAAAACAAGCAAACTTGTTTATAAACAAAAGCGTTGTAGAGGTTGGTAATTGTGTTGTTGTTTTAAAACAACAATTTTTAACAGAGTTGTTTTTTTTTTGTAGTACGATGCTTTGTATACATTTTTCAGTCGAGGAACTTCAAGTCATATGCGTTTCAACGTGAATGGTGTCACTTTCGTTTCAACTCTACGTCACATTCGTTTTAATGTGACTCAAGGGGAAACGAGACCTTATAGGCCTGTGAGTTCTATCTGGGAGTAAACCACAAAGCAACGCTTCAAGATGGAGTGTTCTTTGCCACGCACGCCTTGGGGAAAAGCCATTTGTCAGGCAAACTGTATATTGCAGCAAGTAAACTTTTTGCTAATTACTAAATTTTTCAAATTTAGCTAAGGGAGGGTGGGGCACCTAGTGACACTTTTTGGATTTTGGCACTCACTCCGATACTGTGCGAGAAATGAATCCGCTTACACTTCAGATGGTTGCTTTGATCCTTCCTTGATCGCAAAAACATGTTGTGGCGTTTTGACAACACCTATTTCTATTATTTACATAGCTTCCCGCAGACCTCTGCACTTGTCACTTGGTGCCCAGCCCGGGGCACCTAGTGACAGGTCATATAACTCACATTACCAGCATAGAGCGACGCTCCTGCTAATTGAAAATTATCCGTTTTAGGCTCTTTAAGCTTCTTTAATATAACCATTCTGAACGGCGCCATTTTTCCCAAGAAACTGCATTTTACTACATTGCCAATCAAATTCAATGTTCTCCGAAATTGTCGTGCAAATTAGTCTCATTTATGTTTCGTTGTGTGACAATCGATGACAATTTACTTTGCGGTTGCCAAATCGATGTTTTGAAACGTTTAAATCGTTGAAATACGGTAAATAGAGTGTCTGTCACTACCTGCCCCGGGGGCTCATTTTCGTTCAAAATTTGATATTCAGGAAATGAAATCATATGTTTGAGCTGGTTCAGCGAAAACAACTTATTAAAGGTCCTTATTATTGATTAAAAGTGCCAGAACGATCGGCAGTGCCGTTTACTAAAAGAATGTCGAGAAAACATTTTGTAAAAAAGTCGTAAAATCTGTGATTTTGGGCAATTTATTTCTTGGTTTTATGCTAGGTGCTAAAATATTTTGTTCAAAGTCTCACTCGCACTTGAACATGATTCCGCAGCACAAGACCTTTAGATTAGCCACCTCAAGATGTCTGAAAGTGCCATAGGGTGGCCAGGGCACCCCTGTGTCACTAGGTGCCCCTGTCACTAGGTGCCGCACCCTCCCTTACCTCTTTTAAATGTGATCATGTCCAAGTTAACGACAATTTTGTGCCAAATAGAAGCAAATAAAGAATGCATTCAGAAACCTAGCTCATTTCGAAGCATGCACGGTAAAAACGGTTCCTGGTTTTCCCAGAAACCCTCTGGAAATCGCCTATGTCTTCACCATAGGGCTCCTGGGAAAACCAGGTACCTTTTTTACCGTGTGTACCACGCCTTTACTCTCCTTTCAAATGTAATCAATCGTCGGGCCGTAACTAGACAGCCCAGTTGGGCTAATGTCAGTACTTACTGCTGACTACACTGAGATTCCCAATGCAATGAACATAGCACGGGGTGCATCGCATTGATATATCGCACAGCAGAGCGCGGCATATTGCGTGACCACACCATTCACTGTTAAAAATGGTTGTACAGAGACAATCAAACGAGTAAAAATATAGTCGTTCCAAAACACAGAATGTCATCATGAACCAAAGCGAAAAAAATATCGTTTAATCTAGAAAGCGACAATTTGCTGTAGAAGAACAAAATTCTTGTTATCACCATTTACGATACAATTTGCGGGCAAACGACAACTGTTGCCATTGTGTGCTAAATTTAAATAAATGGTGAATAATACTGCAATCATCAATCTATTTCGTTTTTCTAAGTCATACACTGTCATTCATTTTGCGATACTTTTACTACAAATTTTTGCGATAAAACCGAGTTTGCGATTCCCACGATTTATCGCATCCTGGAGTGCGATAATTTTGTTATTGCACTTTTTTTGCAATAACCACCCCATAATTTTTGCGATAATAGAGCGTTTTGTAGTAACTTTTATCACATTTTTTTCTGCGATAACTTTTTATTGCATTTTCTTTGTAGTCATTATCGCAAAAATGTGATACTTTATTGCAAAATTTAGCTATAATTTTTTTATTGCAGATATTTAATTGTCATTATAGCAAAAAAAATGTGATAAGTTTTTTATTGCAAAATATATACGGTGGTTATCGCAATTTGAATAACAGTGTAAGGAAATTGCTATCTTTAAAAGTAGAACCATGAAGAGAAATTCAGCGACAAAAGTACTCAATCCTATGTACGAAGTAAAATGCAAGTTGACGACCCCTCGCTAAGAACATTTGTTGTTGGTCAACGACTTGCTTTTGAAGGTGGACTGTTAATATGTTACTACAACTTTGTCGTTGTGAAATTATCTTTAAGTTCCAATACACTTAATGTCATGGGACTTTTTTTGTCCCATGAATGATGCAATTTTAAGCACATCCGGTGGTGATGCAATGTTGTGTCCGCCAGGCGGGACGAATTGTCTGGTGAAAGTACAATTTACAGCAGGCGTCGGACAAAATGTGTCGCCAGGCGGGAACAAAATTGTATCAGCGTCGTGCTCACAATTGCAAAAATCGTAGGACGAAAAAAGGCCCAGGACATTTAGTGTGAATACGACTGTGGTGGTGGTGTGACAAGCTATCCGTTCCGAAACAAATATTGTCGCTAAAAAATTGGCAATAAATCGAGGGGTCCTATTCAAAAGATCTTATCTGCGCGTTCCCCCCAAGACAATCTTATCTTAAACGCAGGCAAACTTCACTCAGTTTGATCATTTGATACAGCGACAAATCAATATAATTTTTGATTAAATTCACTGAAATGTAAAGATGAAAGGTCAAAGAAACCAATAGTGCATGCAGAAATATATCCCGCTAACTCTCGTACCCATCCCAAATGGTCAAACTGAGTGAAATTCGCCTGCGTTTAAGATAAGATTGTCTTGGGGGGAACGCGCAGATAAGATCTTTTGAATAGAACCCCTCGAAATGTGTCTCTAAAATCCGACAAAATTTTAATGAGTGAAATGGATCACTCTCCGAAGGGGAACTCGGGTCACACGTTCGGTTCAAGTCTCGTTAAGCGACTCTCGAGCTCAACACCCACCTGGTATTCCGACCGCCGTCGCCGGTCTTCTGGCTCACTGTGCACTGCTCGCGCGCCAGCAAGGAGCGCGACACAGCGCGAGGTACTCGCACGCGTGCGCATGAAAAACTCAAGCCCCAGGCGGGAGGAAGCACGCAAACCACCCCACCCTCGTCAATTATTCGCAAATGAGTTGGCGAGGGTGTCCGTCCGAGTGCGCAGAGAGGCACACTGAACTCGGAGTCAAAGCAGTCCACGCACTCCATCACGGCAGGTGCCTCCCTCCCAGTGCGGCGCTGCGAAGGTTGTCGCAGTGCATCAGACGCGGATACAGGGGAGGTGCACCGCTAATCCAAGTGCAGAAAAAGTACGCGAGTGCAGGCATAGACCCTGTTGCCCTACACGCTTTCACTCTGAATCCAAAGGTAACGTTTTTGGCGATACAGTTGAGTATCGCCAATAAACGGCCTTACGGAAAAGTATTGCCTTCAATACGGCGACACAAAAGTATCGCCAAATTTTGTCCCTACTTCTGTGAATCGCCTTTCTGAAGGCAAGATTTTTCGGAAGGCCGTTCTGGTATCGCCAAAAAATGTACTCAAGTATCGCCTTTGCATTTGCAGTGTTGGCAACACGCTTAAAACCTTACGAAGAATATTGAACATACATTATACAAACTATTTACTTTGTTATACGTAGAAATAGTTCGTAATTTACGAAGTATTTTCTTTAAAAACTTTATGTTTGCTCAAAATACTTTGTTATAACAAGCCGATTTTCTTTGTAACGCCTATAATAGTTTAAAAGGTTTTCTCAGTGAAGTTACGACTGTCTTAGTGCGTCTGAAACTAGGATGCTTGAGAATTGAGTGGCTGTAGATCAATGAACAGACTGCGGATCTTAACCCCACTTTGTTGATTCCAGGTTAGCTCTTAACACTTGTAAACATCGGAATAGACTGTTGAAGATGTTGGTGAGAGTAACCAGTCTCATGGCTCCAAAGTACCGGAACTTGACCTGCGAGGGAGCAGGAACCAGACGACAATTTTAGTTTAATGGAAGGGGAAATTCAGTTTAAAATTCTGAAGAATCGAAGATTTTGCATCCCGCCAAACGATAAATTTTGAGAAGATCGAGCGTGAGGTCACAATACCTTGAAAGGTGTCGTTTAAGATGCAAAATCTCACTCTTAGAAGCTTACGAAGCATTACTTCGTAACTGCGAAGAAAATGAAGGCATTGTAGAATTGCTTCGTATTCTGAAGAAATGCTTCGTATAACGAAGGATTTTGCTTCACAATACGAAGCATTTCTTCGTAGATTTAACAATGCCTTTATTTTCTTCGATTCTTCGTAGGGTTTTTACTGTGCTGAATATCTTGTTTCTTCCAAGATTTACTTTTCTTGCGAATGAGGTCCCGCAACGTTCAAAGCAAACAGTTAGTAAACGGTAACTTTAAAAAAATCTGTGAGGAGTAGTTTTTAAAACTGGTTTACCTACCGAATATGGCTCTACCTTATTGCATTCATGCCTGAACTTTGTTCTTAGACCGAGAGGGCAAAAACTCGGGATTTTCGTGTACACATGATTCGGAAAACGCAATGATTCGCATGATTCGCGTACTTAATTCACGTGATTTTGAATAGAGTGATTTTGTCTGATTTCAAAATTTTATCTTGATTGCGCGCGATTGTGTGTGATTCTGGGTAATTGCGCATGGTTTTAATTGATTTCATGGCCGATTCTGCCTTCGCGACGCACCAGGGTGATGTTGAGCGTGATAGTGTGTGATTGTGTTCAGAAAGAAATGATTTCGGACTGATTTTGCCTGGTTTCGTGTGATTCTGCCTGATTTCGGTCGATTTTAGTGATTTTGGTTGATTTCGCGTGATTCTCAATGATTCGCATGTGATTTCGGGGGCCGTGTACACATGATTGCGCGAGTTTTTGCCCCCTCGTCTCAGACACGAGATACCAACTGTGTGCAAAAGCGTGCAAAAGCGATTTGTGTGCCTGAAACATTTTCGCCCAGCTCCAAAAAACAGACCCTTACTGAAGGAATGACCATTGAGACAAGCAGCAAACTGACTACTAACATTTGAAGTGAACCCACGAGGTGTGTGATCGGAGTGGACGTCCCACAAGACTTTTAAGAGGTGGAGCTGGGCCAGGTCACAGTGGCCCAGAAGACCGGTGGAGGCGGTCAAAACCCCGGTCGCGTTTTGAGTTCCTCCACTCAAACGGAGCGTGTGACCCCACCAATGGATTCCTCATTCGGAGCGTAATCCATTGGTAGAGCCACACGTTCGGTTTGAGGCCCGTTTAGCGACTCTGGAACTCAAAACGCGACCGGGATATTGATCGCCTCCGCTGGTCTTCTGGCCCATTGTGCAGTTCATTCGCCGCCAGGGACTGACTCGGACTCTGCATCCACTCTCATTCCAGGAACGTGACACCACGTTGAAACGAACGTGACAGAATGTCACGTTCGTTTGAACATTGTGCCACACTCCTTTGCGTGTGAATTGGCAAAAAATCAGCTTGTTCACATTCAAACGAACGTGACACAATGCTCAAACGAACGTGACATTTTGTCACGTTCGTTAGCATTGTGTCACATTTTGTCACGTTCGTTTCAACGTAATGCCACGTTCCTGGAAAGAGTGTCCGCCACTGACCTGGACTGGCGTGATGGTGCGCGTGAGCACGATCTGCAGGGCGGTGCGGTCCGCCACCGGCCACGCCGCCCAGTCGCAGCCGCACAGCGCGTCGTGGAAGTCGTCGCCGGCCGACTCCTGCAGCTCGCCGGACAGGCAGGCCATGGCGATGTGCGAGAAGTTCAGGGCCACGATGGCCAGGTTCGTCATGTCATGCGTGCCCAGCGCCGCGCGCAGCAGGCCGATCACGCCCAGCCCGAACACGATGCGCGTCAAGACGGACATGTCCTCGGCGAAGAAGCCCTGCACGGACGGTACACCGTCCGAAAACATCATTTTCTCAAGAATTCGTAGTTTCAAAGCAGAAGCTTCGCAGTTTTGGAGCAGATCCACTGTTAAAAAAAGTGTTGTAATTCAGAAGTAAATATGTTGCTAATTTTCTTAATGACTGTTTGTCTACATATGTATGACTTAGGTTTTTTACTGATGAATTGCGTTGTTCGCCAACAAGATGTTTGTCAACCAGTAGACAGCTATATGAGCATCAATTTTGATTGCCGATTAAGTCACAGATCAAGTAGAATCCCCGTGACCCACAGTAGTCACTTGTTAGATTAGATTGTCTAGGTTGTTTGTGCACAGCAAAAGATTGTTTTAAAACAAGCATAAGTCAGAAAAAATTGCAACAAATTCGTCGTTTTTAAACAAGAAAACTTGTTTAAAAGCAATAGCGTTGTCGAGGTTAGAAATTGTGTTGTCATATAACAACCTTTTTTGAACAGTGGATGCTTCTTAGCCTATTTTTACTGAAGTTTAAGATTTAAGGCTGAACTTCCGACAGACGGCTCTGTCAAGCTTGCTTTGCGTTGGTGGAAATGGACATGGACAAGAGTGCAAATTTAAGAGGCGCCCTCAATGGACACTGCGACTTGTACCTCCGAGGACCTCCCCCGCGTGATGGGAAATCACAGCAGTGATCAGTGTACTGCATGTGCAATGCAAAAGCGTTGCATTAGTGTATCATTCTTGCATGAATGAATACTTCACTACGGCTATAACACTACTATTACGGACGAAGAGACCTGATTATTACTCGAGTGCATACCTCCTCACATAAAGGAGCAACGCCCGGAAAAAAGTATTACGACACACTGGTCGGCCTGGACAGTTCGTGACATAATCATTTTGACGGAGAACTCGACAGCGATAGAAAAATTTACGGCTTTGTGTTTTAATGTGGTATGCCTGCCTTGTACTGCTCAAGAGGAACGACACGTGCTTGTATTTCCATTGAAAGTTGTGATCATAACAAACCTTCTAAGATAATGTATCCCAATTATATATGATACCATAGCGGGAAACAATTTTGTGCTTTACCAAATCTAGTGACGAAATTGAAAAAAAAAAGTTCACTAGGTGATAACAAGGTTGGCAAACTTGGTGATCCACAAAATTGTTTTCAGTAGGAAACAAAACAGTTCATAACCTACAAATTCTGTGTGCATATACAAGTAATATTAAAATGTAAGCCACAAATTCAGTCTTCATCGGCAAAGAGTCGACGGCTCGGGACCGGGCTTCGACTCTTTGCCGACACGAAAACCAAACAGCACATGGTGGTAGACAAAAGCTCCGGTAGTGCTCCGAGCTCGGGAGGGGCATAAAACCATTGTGGCACGACCTCGCCCCCTTTGCGTAAGCGGGGACCGTCGCACGAAGTCGACTCTTTGCCGGTCGACTCTTTGTCGATGAAGACTGTAGTTTCAACGACCTTTTCGTACGATATTGTAATCCTCAAGAAACTAACTGACCGACTACATACTAACGAACAGGCAAAGGCCGCAGGAACAAAAGTAATAACACTGAAAAACAGTGACTGCCACTTGGTAGTTTCAAGGCTAATACAACTGCTACTTCTTGGTTGAAGCGCCTGCGAACATTCGGTTAGACTAGCCCGCAAAGCTCCAGTTTGTTGCGGGCTTGCCTAACGCTAGTTCGCAGGCGCTGGGCCAGGTGGATCCCAATCAAAAACCGCGAAAACGGACAATTTCACTGAAAATCTGAATGTAAGATTAATCACTCTTGGAACCGCGAGACATTTGTGTCTGACCCATAAGGGGCGATACTAAAAAGTATGACCGGGAAACGGGGATACTTTGACGAAGACTCAAAAGGGTTTTTTTCTCTTTTGGTATTGCACATGAAGAGTGATGTCTCCCATCGAAAAACAAGGGCCAGCTTGCTGATGTCTGACCTTCTTTTGGGTCGAGTATCACCCTTGCGGATGTACATTTGCGTTCGATCTTTTCCAGAGAATCTTTTTGTTTTTCCGCTGATTGGTCATGTCTCACGCTTCGAATTAATTAGGTGTTGGGGCCGATATTGCACTGGCACTCGGAAGGACTTGAAACTTATTTGTGTTCCACCAATACAGTTGTGTTTCAGACCTGACATTGTACCACCAGTATGAAGTGCTACTTAATTATTATAATCAGCCCGTATAGCAAAAAAAAACTACACAAATCAGAATATTTCTACACATGTGTCGGAATTTCGGCAATTCTTATACAGGAATTTTCCTAGACCACTGTACGGTAAAATTCCAAACATTTTTTTACAATGTACGTACGTACACTGTGACTAGAGCAGCCTAAGAAACGATCTTTTCGTCTCGCATGCAGACTTGACGGAGCGTACGATTAATTGTTTGAGACACATTTTCTCGATGCGTACATAACACACTGGACGAGACATAGACCACTGAAGACGAAAATATTGTATTCTTTTAATTAAGCAAAAAGCCAAATCCATGTTTTCAGAGGCTTTCAGAGACATGTCCGTTCTTTTATGTTTAAAAAATCGAGCTGTGTACGAAAAGCAGCGTCCCCGATCCAATATGGTTAACAGGCAAAGGGTACCGCAACCTGTTCAATAATGTCATGTGAAATTTTGTACGAGACGTCACAAGGTTTTGGAACAGATGACCTTTTGGCGCACACTTAAACCCTTGCGAAGTAATCTGAACTATTTTCTATGGGAGCTTACGCATTCTTGAAATACTTTGTTGTACAAAGCTTACTTGACATCGTACGGCTAAAAGTTCGTAAGGTTTGAGTAGTGCATGATTTTCAGACGGGAAAGTGCTCTTTTTCTGCATTTTTAGCTAAATCATGCCAAAATAGATACAAAATCTCATTCAACGAACGTTAATGAAAGCAGATGATACTCGTTTGGTTTTCTTAGACGGGGTAGTATGCGGGATCATTCCAAAGATCTTTGTATTTGTATTTGTATCTATAGTATTTAAAATTGTGTATGAAACGAAATACACAGACCCGAGTGAGCTGGCCGGTGTTGGTACTAGCCGTGCCGAGCTGTGGCCTGCACCGCACGCCGCCGAGCCCGAGCGAGCGCCCCAGGCCGGGCCGAATCGGGAGGCATTGTTGCGCGATACTCCGCGCCGTGGCAGGCGGGGAGGGATTGTCAATGCGAGGAGGAGGTGCCATTGTTTACGCCCGGTGCCGCTGGCGCTGTACCGCGGAGGCATTGTCGAATTCCGCGCAGGCTGCGCCTCATTGCAAGCCAGCCAGCCACACGCACCAGCCCGCCCCGGCCGCCAGCCCCTAATATATTGTTAGGATACGCGCTTGGTTTCTGGACTCGAGAGTAAAAGCACGCTGACACCTTCATTTGTGTATGGTAGTTTTAAGTATGTTTCAAGTGTGAAGGTATCATCTGCTAAAAAGTTCATCTGCACTCAAAACAAAAAAAAAAGACTAACGTCTCCGAGGGGAGGGCCCAAAGATTCAAGAGATCTTGTATCCTCTTAAGTGCCTAAAATCTCTGCAAATCTAAAAAAAATAATCGAAAAATGGCCCAAAAGCAAGCCAAAGTGGGGCGCAAAATCGGTCGAAATCTGACGAAATCTCTTGTGTTAAGAAGTCTCAAGTCTCCATACATCAAAAGCGGTTGTCCTCCCAAACGTCTCGTTCAAAACCTGCACAAAGACCTTTATTGTGTGTCGGCGTTCACCTGCACTCTTGCGAACGCATCGTGGAGCTGTTGGTGCAGGCGAATGATGGGCAGAAGCTCCTGCCAAGCACGGGCCTCCCGCACGTTGTCCGCCAAGAGGTGCAGCGTGACATCCATACTCAGAGACGACATCCAACTCAACGCGATCAGGATCTGCATTCGTCCGTCGAGACAAAAAGGACAATGAGACGCCGGCTGAGCGAGCAGTGTGCAGTGTGCTGTAAGCTGTAAAACTAAAAAACGACTCTGTCAAGTTCGTGAAAATAGACATGGACCACGAGCCACGAATTTCAGTGAACATTCAAGGACCGGCCGCAATAGAGAGACAGCGATGTGTATTTTCGAGGACTTGATGCGTGATGGGAAGACACAACAGCGAACAGTGTACACGCGCGATGCAAAAGCATTGCACCACCAATTTGTTTCATCCTAACAAGACTTGAAGCTTGTAGTCGAAACACAGGGGCACATAAATATGTTTCGCGCCTACGTGTATTGCACCCCAAAGTCGTCGGCAAATAGCTGGAACATCTGGAACTACCCTAGATGAAATTCGAAAAATTTGGGCTCTGATGCTACTTGTACAGTCGTGCTCCCTTATTTGTGCCGCTTTTCTGGCTTGCTATTTATCCCGGAGTCATCCCCACCACCCGGAGCTCAGGTGCCGTGGGCCGACCCCGCCGGACGCCGGGCTGGCCCCCGGCCGGGAAAGGGACAGCCGGCTTAATCCCCTGGGCCGGGCCAAATCCCCAGGCCAGATCGAACTCCGCATTCGTCCACTTTTTTAACTTTCTGATTTCAAAAACGGATAGCTGACTAAAAACTACCACAAATGAAAAAAAAAATCACCTCAAAATTTAAATTTTGACCCCAGCGGCGCAAGATTTTGCCTTTTTCTAACGAAATGTTTGAATTTTAACAATTTTATCTGACGAAAGCCATACCTTTTTTGATGGTCTGTTTTGATGCGCATTCAAGAATTCATAGCCAAAATTTGGTGGTGATTGAACCACGGGAAACGCCCACATTTTCTATCTGTCCTCTTCTTTGTCCCGGCGCGCCGGCTCGCCGCGGTGGGGTCAAAATTTGAATTTTGAGGTGATTTTTTTTTCATTTGTGGTAGTTTTTAGTCAGCTATCCATTTTTGAAATCAGAAAGTTAAAAAATACGATTTCACGAAATCCTAGGAGTCACGAAGTGAATATTGCGTTTGTTGCAGGAAAAAAGAAGTGTTTTGAATTTAAACTTGACAGTAAATAGAAATCAAAATGCTGGAAAATTCAAAAAATTCCAATGCTATCCGCAGTGTTCTGACAATGGAACATCTTTAAAGTCCATCATTATTAAAATGTTCTTAGCAGAAAGAAGGCAGTAAATTAACTTTCACGGGTTGGCAACTAGTTTCTCGGCGTCTGCGCCCTTGTGAAAATCGCGAAGCTGAAAGCACCAGCAGTCGCGCATTAAAACTGCCCCTCCATTGTTGCTGACGTTGAATTGTTTGGCTTGTTTCAAAAGGCTATGGTTCTCTGGTCATGTTTTCTTCAATTCTGTGTAATAGTTCTCCCTTACAACGTATCAACACCACAACGGTTGGTTTGACAAACTTCATAAACTCGGGAGGTATGGTTTCGAAACGCGGGTGAGTCTTGTTCGAGGAACATGAGCACTGCAAGTCGCGAGGTGGAGCGAAGTGGTCCTAGTGCTAACTGAATCACAACAACAACAAAATTGTTTTATTGACAGAAAAAAAAGTAATATTTGAGAAACTTTATGTCAGAAAAAAAGAACTTTTGTTTTGCAATTTTTATGTTAATATTTTTTTAGAAAGTCATCACATAAACATTGAAAATTTGTTTTATATGAATTTTCATAAGCAGGAAACAAAGAAAAACAAGAAAGAGAGCAAAATTAATTCAGATTTCAAATGCTACAGTTGGTTAAACTGTTAAATAGGTTGCAAACCTACTGCGCATGTCCAAAAACACTCCGATCAAGAAGTATTATTGGATAGTTCTACCCGAAAAACTGCGTTCGAACCGACACCAATTCTATTGTTGCATCTTGTCTACCTGCAGTCAAAGAAATTTTTCATTTCGAACGTGCTGATTTCAGCTTTTGGAGTAAGCTGTACAGACCCAAAAAGAAGCTCGGCTATTGGTCCGCCCCGGCTCGGACTCCCCCCACCCCCCTTTTTTCCTTTGACGAGTCGATTTTTGCCATGGAAACGGCGATTTTAACAGAAAATTTTCTAAAAATTTGGCCTTTAACTTTTTAACCAGTTTTCAGCATGAGAATCAGCGTTCAAAGTTCTACAAGTCTGCAAAGTCTCATTAAAATCGTATAGAAAATTTCCGAAATGCATAAAGGGCCATACAAATCAAATCTCCAGCCGGCTGAATCGTCGGTATACTATAAGGCTACTTCGTGCCTAAAAAGTGAACGAATGCGGAGTTCGATCTGGCCTGGGGATTTGGGCCCCGGGCCCCAGGGGTTTAAACCCGGCTGCCCCTTTTCCCGGCCGGGGGCCAGCCCGGGTCGGCCCCGGCGTCCGGCGGTGATCACCCCGGGCCCCAGGTAGTGGCTTTCTGATTGTCACATGCTTCGCTCGGAAAGCGGCACAAATAAAGGAGCACGACTGTATGCATACTGTTACGCGGGTGCTTTCACCCTTCGTAGGTCCCTGAACCGGAAGCACACAGACGCCATGTTGGCGGAAGTAGATCCAAACTTGACATGGGAAAGAGACGTTCGTCAAAGGTATCGGCCACACTTGAACATAAACAGTCTTTTGATACTTGTTTGCAGTGCTATGGTTTCGCGAGCAATTTTTGTACAGCTCGGCTATAGTTTTGGATCCGAAGAGAGGTTAGTTTCCGGCCAATTCGGCGTCTGCTGGTCTGCTTGCTTCCGGTTCAGGATTCTACGAAAGTAATCGTGTTTTGATTTTAGGGGACAGGTTTTGTAAATATTTTAAAAAAGTAGGTTCTCCCCTCCATGACACCAAATTTTAATCGACGACGACATGCAATAAGCCTGTCGCTTGACCGACAAAATAGTCTACTTTAAGACAGAGGCAGAGAGCGTAAGCTGTTATCGGAAAAATTGGCTGCTGCGAGCGACGAAAATAATCTTTTGTTTTTGGACAACTGACAACACTGACCTTGCTCATACAGCAAAACGTGACACAAAGAAAATAAACCTCCTTAAAAACAACAACAATGTTAAACACAGCGGATACAGTGAATGAAAACGGCTTAATCTGTAATGACTCTCCACGAAAAGCGGCAGGAAATGAATCTGATTCTGGGAGTCGTGGAACCTCTTCTGCAATGATTTCCGTTTTCTGTCCTTTGTCACTTAACTTTAGTCCTAGTGGACGTTTCCCGGTGTTTCACCCCCTTCACCAGGGAGTGGCAACGGCCTAGGGAGAGCGTGAAGCGATGCTCGCGCCGTCAGTGCAGAGGTTGCGCACTAGTTCGAGATTATGAAAACTAGACTGTGTTTTTCAAAACACTTTGCACCAATATGGAAAGGGCTTGAAATTTAGGGTGCATTAGGCTTATTGCCCTTCTTGAAACTCCCCCCCTTACCTAATATTAAGGAGCAGTAAAAACACCAAAAAACACAAAAATCATAAAATTGAGGAAAAAACTCGAATGCGCCATGTTGATGTAAATGATTTCGACCTTGTGTTCGGTTGAATTGGAAGTATCGGGCAGTCAACTAGGCCTAATGCACCCCAAATTTTGTGCTCTTTCGATCTGTGCAAAGCGTTTTGCAATCAACGCACTCTTAAAACCTTACGAAGTATTTTGAGCATAAATATAACAAACTAAAATACTTTGTTATACGAAGAAATAGTTCGTAAATTACGAAGTATTTTCTTTGTAAGCTTACGTATGCTCAAAATGCTTTGTTATACAAACTACTTTTCTTTGTAAGGCCCAAAATAGTTTGGAAGGTTTTCTCAGTGCGGGCTAGATCTTACAATCGAAGCAAAGTAAGTAACCCCTGCACCTCACTCACGCATGGCTTCACGCGCCTCCTAGGCCGTTGCCGCCCCCTGCCTTCACAAACCGAGTAGTAACAGGAGAGCCTCTTTACTAAGTGTGTTCAGAGTTGCAGGAGCTAGAAACGCTTTCAGTCCACGACAACGGGGACACCACAATGCTCACCACGTACGGCGTGCCACCCAGGCAGATGAGCCCACTGTGCAGCAGCATGAATGCCACCTCCCACAGGTCGTGGCCGTTCCCGGTCGGCCAGTGCGGCAAGAAGTGGCTGCCACTCACCAGGAACAGTCCCACCATCACAGCGGACACAGCGGCCGACTTCAACAACACCAGGGTATGTTTGTGTGTTCACGGCAAAACCAACGTCCGGGTTTCCCAGGCGCACCCTGGAAAAATGCCTTGTTTTTCCAGGGCGCGCCTGGGAAACCCGGACGTTGGTTTTGCCGTGTTGTGACGCGATCACAGCGAATTTAAAAGAGGAGAGAGTCTCTAAGGGGAACACACCTCCCGACTCCTGAGAAAAAGCCATAATCAGGATAAAAATTTGGGGTGAGGCATCACTCAAATTTGGGTGAAGGTACTGTCTAGCTACGTAGGTATCTGATGTGCTTTTTATCGCCCAAAGTTGGATGAGGGAATCTTACACGCCGAAATTTTGGCTACGAAATAATCCTCACTCAAATTTGGGTGATAAGGTATACCTCGCCTAGAACTGATCAAGAGTTTTCCATTCTCGGCGGAATCTGAAGTGTGATTGAGTCATTTTTTTAGAGATCTCAATATTAAGAGCTCATGGAAACTTAACGAAATGATTGGTTGCCCTATAAAGCTGTTTGAGCGATTGGGTGATTTCTCTCTTGCTATCTCTCAATCAAAGCTCGGTGAGCGATTCTCACGTTTCGGGGTAGTTTTGGCGTCTCTGATTTGCCGAAAGTGAGAAATATCCAATTAAGTTTTTCTGATTATTGGGGTCCTGGATGATACTAGAGTTATGGCAATGGTATTTATAGTAAAGACCTTGTACTATCTTCCTAAAAACATGAGCCATAAGGTATTCCCATACGTTTTAGTGGGTGTTTTGATCACGGAAATTACGTTATCACGGAAGTTACAAAGTGTGAAAATCGGCTTTAACGGCTGACTCGGGCTTGCTGTGGCTTAAAAGTCGTTCCAGGGTCAAATGATACTCTAAGCCCGACATTTAAGCGGAAATTTTTTTCACGTAGTGCTGCTGCAACATTGGGTAAAGGGTGCCACGGAAGTTACAGGTAATTGTTGATACACGCCATTTTATAATACTCTAGTCCGCTTTGAGACCGTGTACAGCATCTTAGATTTCCGCGACCCATGCAATTATATCCCAGGGACTCCACTTTGATGGCTTGTGTCATGGAAAGTTAAAAGTTTGGCTTGGGGAGAAGTCCAGAGCTGCCTTTTCGAAATTTGTGTAGTGAAATTGAATATACGGTGGACATTTTTCGTTGCAGCATAAGTACCTTTGAAAGAAGTCTGGCCTATTGGTCTTCGGTTGAAATTAGCTCGAGACATGCCAAGCTTCGAATCCCCATCGACAGTTGGCAGCATTTTCGAACCACACCGCCACACTAGGGGCGGAAAGTTCGAGTATGTTCTCTTTGGACAATCACGGAAGTTACATTTAGGGCATTCCAAACGCTACGTAGACCAATCCAACGAACGTGAACTATTCGAAATGTGTGCGTTTAGTGGGCATTGGGCAATGGCCCTCCTTAACATCAGAAACAAACCCCATGTCGATATCTGCACTCGTTTGGGCACAGGAGTCAGAAGAAACGAAACTACCCCGAAACGTGAGAATCGCTCCGGTACATTTTTTTAACGATGAAACTAGCATATTTTCCCCATATTTTCCAGCTGTGGTACATGGTGCCAAACCTGAGTGCGCGACACGATGGCAAGTGGTTGCAGAACGCGTTCCATCAGCAACGCCCTCCGACGTCCTGGCTTGTCTTCGACGGCAGTCGTGGCTGCTGGGTTTGTTCAACGTACAGGGTTACTTTCTTCCTTCTACATTGATACTCCCTTTGACTGGGCCAGTTTTAGACACAGCGTCACGAATACACGTTCGTTAGAAATCATAATGCAGTCCTTCTGAATTCCACCTCATCCTATTTTGATCCCAACTAGACTGAACAGAGAATGATAATGCGAAGGGATACTGCCCAACTATATATCGAGAGGGCAATGGCAATAGAGCTCTCCGTTAAGCTAGTCGTGCAATACGCGAATCATGGCACAGCTACACTTTAAGATCCAGCATATTTGTGACGAAACGGAATTGGACTCTGCGATTGGAGGAGAATCTACAAAAATGAGTTTAAGTTCGTCTGTTTCTCTTTCCTCCTTCGTTTACCTAAATTTTGGTTAACTTTGAACTTTGCAGTAGGTATTGTACACGCTAAATGTTTATGTACAATTGAACGTGGTGATGCATAATTTTAAACTTGTGTGCCGTCGTGCATAAAATTGTGCGTGAATTTGCATAAATTTATGCATTTTCACGCATAATATTATGCAATGCAAATTCCCCGCATACACAAAATTGTGCAAGTGGCACTTACAAAATTCTACATAAACATTTGGTGTGTAGAGAAAAACGCAGGATAATTAAAAGAAAAAGGACCCCTCCCAAAAAATTGAATACGATTGCACAAAATTCTGACGAGATCCACGCTTGGTTTGAAAGTGCCCTACATTCTACTCACCTTTGTCTTGAGCAAGAGTCTCGATGCTTCTTAGTACATCCACTAGAGACGCGAGACTCACCATGGCCTCAGTTCCACGCCGGCCGCGTATCTGAAGGACAAGGGGAAATCACTGTGAATTTCAATGAACAAATCCAATGAATTTCAGTTGAATTTTGATGAATCTCAAGCAAACACTACTAAATTATCAGAAAAATTTCAGCAAATTTCAAAAAAAAATTGATGAATTTCGATAAATTTTACATGTTTGCTGAATTTTGGTGTACAAATTTCGATAGAGTTATTTCCCCATGCTGAAGGAGGAACACAGAGAGGCATGGAATGTTTGCGTTGTCAAGCAAGCAAACAGAAAACGGGATTGTGGAGACACGATTCAACCTAAAAACGCCACGAATCTCAATCGACTGTCCTAGCCGTCGTCAACTGAAGAACAAAAATAAACACGTGACTAACTAGTGAGTTAGAAGAAAACAGGGAGCCCGGTTTAAGGGAAGGATGTTGGCATACGTTTCGTCAAAACGTAGTAAGGACAGGCTTCTTTGTTTTAGAAAGAGTTACGCTTTGGTATTCTGTTAATGTACTGGAACGAGTGTCGGGTAATGTTGCAGGCGCAAGGGTATATTTCGACGCAACCGGACCAACCCCAAGCACTACAAGGAAGGTGTACGGAAGCCTCGAGGTCTGTAACGTCGGCTGTGTGAATGGCCTGATAACCCATGCCCAACCCAGATGTTTCTCTTCACAAGTTCCCTGTGCGTTTGGTCGCTACGTACACTCTTAAAACCTTTTGAAGCATTTGGAGCGCACATAAGTTTTCGAATTTTAATTTACATACTTCACACACACTAAATGTTTATGTAGAATTTTGTACGTGCCACTTGCACGATTTTGGTGCATGCGGGGGATTTGCATAATATTATGCGTGAAAATGCATAAATTTATGCAAATTCACGCACAATTTTATGCACGACGGCACACAAGTTTAAAATTATGCATCACCACGTGTACAAAATTGTACATAAACATTTAGCGTGTAAGCTTATGTAGGCTCAAAATACTTTCGTGTTTCAAGGTACTTTTCTTCGTAAGGTCTAAAACATACTATACAAACTATACTCAGTAAAAAGTTCCTATCCCAATTTCGCTCCTAGCAGTGCTAATTTAGCACTTCACCAGTGCGAACTCGTCAAATCACACTCAGCAGTGCAATAACTGCCTCTTTGCACTTCTAAGTGCAAAAATGGACCAAAAAGTGCTAAGTTGTTGAGTGAGAGCACGTATAGGTGCTAAAATGTTTCACCCGTAGTAAGTGCTAAATTTCTTGCCCCTGATTGGTCTGCATGCAGCTTACACCCTGTACACATGTGCCTACGATTTCTCGCTGTGTAGTGCCTCAACTCTTGTAATGCTGACCTTCACCTCGAAATGGTTCCAGAGAGTTAGGACAGACACTAGGACAACATTTTCATGCACGGGAGCAATATAGGTGTCAAATAGTCAATTTTTGACGATCCACTAAGATAACTTTTAGAGTTTTTTGACAATATATCTCGTGTTTATGGATTGCCGTCCCCAATATTTTGCTGGCAGTTAGAGTACCCCCCTAGGGCTCTTTGATACCAATATGGTCAAAAAGTAAGATGACGTATTTTGAGAATTCAAAAAACCCTTATTTTTAGTCAAAAACACCCTTTTAGGCAAAGACTGAGGGCCCCAACCTTGTTTCTCACTTTATTATGTTGCCTTTTACTGTTTTCAACCCATTTGAGCGGCTAAAGACATAATTTTTAAAAATAAAAAAAAAAAGGTTTTGAAATTTTTTTGAAATTTCAAAAAATTGCCACGGCCAAAGTTCTGCATATTTTTTCAAAAAAAATTACATGAGTGGTCCTTGAGTGGTAGGCTATGATAGAAAAAATTGGGAGCCGGATCTGAGCAAGTGCGTTTTGGACCATGATGGTTTGACGTGGAATGCCCCGGCATAGGATAAAATGTTAGGTGTTCGAACATCGATCAACAAGGATCGTTGAGATTTTCCTTTTCTTTTCTGACGCTTTCACTGGTGTACCGTCAACGGGGGTAACTTGGGACACTTTTTCACGTTTTTTGAACGCCAGAGGCAAGATTCTCAACCCAGACCATTGGATCCCAACTATGTTAAAGTTTGACCCTTTCCCCATGATTTCATGCTTGTCCGGTTCATTTGCCTCGATTACATCGTTTCCAAGCGGTCTCGAAAGAGTGTCGCAAGTTACCCCATGACCGGGGGTAACTTGGGACAGTAGGTAATTAGCCACGTTCCCATGCATCTTTGACTAATATTATATACACGCAGCGTTTGAATAATAAAATTGGACTTTATGTACACGCAGCGTGCACATAACAGAAAAAAAAATTATTGACACGCAGGATTTTTCCCCTCAGACGTCCACCGACGGTGGCCACACTGAAAATCCAAGTGTGGGACAGGCATGCACTAGATGACGTGGGACAAAATGTCCCACGCTTGCAAGTGTGGGACACGGATTTGTCCCACGCTTACAAACGTGGGACACCGTTTGTCCCACGCTTGTAAGTGTGGGACACGGATTTGTCCCACGCTTGTAAGTGTGGGACACGGTTTGTCCCACGCTTGCAAACGTGGGACATTTTGTCCCACGCTTACTACAAGCGTGGGACAGTTTGTCCCACGTTATCTAGTGCATGCCTGTCCCACACTTGGATTATCAGTGCATGTGGGACAAAATGTTCCTGCGTGCAAATCATATTTTGGCTTTTATTTAAACGCTGCCTGTCTCCAAGGCACCAAAAAATTATTGGCACGCAGGATTGTAAAAAGTCTTCCGACCGGCGACCGAGTCCGGCATGGCGGCTTGGTGGGTGAGTGGGTCCGTGCTTGCACGGGAATTTTTTGGCCCGGGTTCGAGACTCGCCTTCTTCTCAAAAAATTTCTGCGTGTTAATTATGAAAATCGGTGTTGTTTCAACGCTGCGTGTTTATAATAAATTCACATGTTATTTACACGCATCGTGTCTGCAATTCTAGTTTTATTATTTTCACGCAGGAAAAGTTTTGCTGCGTGCAAATAATATTTTGGTTTTTATTTAAACACTGCGTGTCTCCAAGACACCAAAAAATTATTGGCACGCAGGATTGTAAAAAGTCTTCCGACCGGCGACTGAGTCCGGCATGGCGGCTTGGTGGATGAGTGGGTCCGTGCTTGTACGGGAATTTTTTGGCCCGGGTTCGAGACTTTGCCTTTTTCTCAAAAAATTTCTGCGTGTAAATAATAAAACTGGGTCTTGCAGACACGCTGCGTGTAAATAACATGTGAATTTATTATAAACACGCAGCGTTGAAACAACAACACCGGTTTTCATTATTAACACGCAGAAATTTTTTGAGAAGAAGGCAAGTCTCGAACCCGGGCCAAAAGATTCCCGTGCAAGCACGGACCCACTCACCCACCAAGCCGCCATGCCGGACTCAGTCGCCGGTCGGAAGACTTTTTACAATCCTGCGTGCCAATAATTTTTTGGTGCCTCGGAGACACGCAGCGTTTAAATAAAAGCCAAAATATTATTTACACGCAGCAAAACTTTTCCTGCGTGTAAATAATAAAACTGGGCCTTGGAGACACGCTGCGTGAAAATAAGATGTATATATATTATATACACGCTGCGTGTATATAAGACCCATTTTTATTATTTAAACGCTGCGTGTCTATAATGACTCCGTGCATCTTTTGATGTTAATGGACGTAAAAAATTTAAGTCACAACATGTAGACCAAGAATTCAGGCCTAGGAACTCTTGTAGAACCGATATTGGACTATATCTATGGCTCTACACGGAACTCTCTTTTCTACTGGTATTTTCTAGGCATTTTCTGAAAATTTCGAAATATGCATTACCAGAAGACAAATCTGCAGAGCAAGGCATCTCTTTCCACTACCAGCGTAAAATCCGAAGTTTATGTTATGTCAGGAACCGGGTCAGTCAACTCCTTGGAGGCTAGGACTGCTGGAAACATGAGGAAAAGACTGTCCCAAGTTACCCCGTAAAATTTCGATTTTTGATAAAATGCAGTCTGGACCGAAGATGGGAAAACTATAATCGACGGCCTTTTGCGGACGTTATTGTCTGTGTATGATCTAACAGCCCAGAGAGACTAATCGGCCAAATCTGCATTTCACTCCTTGCACTAGGGTCAACTTGTCAATGTTTGACATATTTTGTCAAAAACCCTATTATGTAGTTTCCCGTTTCTCAAATACTAATTGTGATGTTGTGCGCCTTTTCTACCTTTCCGCGCGTGCCCTGAGGCCTCTGAAACAAAACCCTGCTGCGGGTTTGACGCTAGGAACCCCCGTCGCTGAATGGCAGCACCAACAAGCTGTACAGGGCAGACTGTCCCAAGTTACCCCCGGTGTCCCAAGTTTCCCCCGTTGACGGTAGCAATGGCATTAAAATTATGGCCCTTAAGGGCGTAAATTTGGAAGGGCATTAAAATTTTGCTTAAAAGTCCCAGACCATTCGAGCCCATCCCAAGGGCATAAAAATGATTTACGCATTTATAGGGCGTAAAAGAGTGTTTGCTTGTGCTCTAAAGGGCGTAATTTTTATGCCTTTGATTTACCAGTGTAAAAGGTTCATGCAAGGGTTCGTGTCGTGAGGGATGGTGGAGCATTTTAAAGAATTCCCATCTGAACTTAACGGGTGCTCCTGAGGGAAGAGTGTGTGTGTGTGTGTGTGTGTGTGTGTGCGCGCGAACGAACCGTCACGTCAATTCCAATGCTAGTTGTGCCACGTTTCTTTGAATACGATGTCACTTTCGTTGGAACACGTCACGGCCGTCGGAACATGAATCGTCATTCAAACGAACGTGACAACAATCCAAGGGATAAATGAGGTTGAATGTGCGAGCAGAACGTACCCAAAGACCGTAATCGACGCAGCAGAAGCCGAGGACGAAAAACAACGCCACAGCTGACTGGTCGTAGCTTTGCTTCTTGAAGCTCACGCCGAACGAGACGAGGAAGCTTACTTGGGCCAAAAGGCTAAATAGGAGGCCAAGCAGGTGCAACGCCTGGCTCCATTTGGAGCTGGGAAGTCCACGAATCAATTCGTCGATTATTGCTGCGACTAATAACAGGAAAAGTAGCGATATACATCGGCAACTTTGGCCCGTCCCGTACATTAAGAAACGTACGAATTTCGCCTATGTTTAACCCTGACGGGAATTAAACCTGAGTCTGGGGTTAAAATAAATGTCGTTTTCGTCATCAGCACCCTCAAAAACATCAGAAACAATGCAAAAACTCGAATAAAAAGAATTTTCAAAAAAATACCCCGCTGGGATTTGAACCCGGGTCCGAACTTCTCCGATTCGCTCGAAACTGGCACCATTGGTTTTTTCTCGTCGCCCCGATTCCAAAAATACCCCTACATGCCCTCCTAGCTGCATCCGTTGCCGAGATCCTCCTCGACCCCATGTAGACCATGATGCACCTGCAGCAGCGCCCCCGGGGCTCGGATCGGATTTGCTGCCACCGGGCGGTTCTTAGGGTCACCCAGGGAGGCTGCATACCAAATTTGGTCAAGATCGGACCACGGAAAGTCCTCGGACGAACGGACGGACGGACGGACGCACAGCAGGGATCATACTATATGCCCGTCCCTCCGTCATTTTTTTACAAAAAATAAACGGGACGGGCCAAAAACTGACATTTTGTTCAAAGTATTTCTCGAAAAGAAACTTTCAGGACCACAAACTTCATTCCCAGAAATAGAAGGTTGACGCAAATGGCAAGACATTTAAATGGCATGAACCTTGACTATAGAATTCTATGTGTGGAAAATTTGGGAAATGACAACGTCAACCGAACCAGTGGGCTATTTTTTTTCCTTTCATGTTTTCATCTTTGAACGCCATCCTGATAAAGTCGCTAGAGCCTGTGGAGCGCACGTTTGGTCACAAGCTTCAATCGGTCGTCCACAACAAGCGCACTGTTGTGATATTGTTATTGTTATTGACAACCGTTGTGATATTTGTATGAATGTTTTACTTTGATACGTCCCCTTTAACGCTGACCCACAGTCAATTAATCGTGATATCCTTATTAAGCGGCCGCGACACGTCCAGACGAATGTGGCGGTGCATTCAAACGAACGCGAAAATGCTTTTACAATCTAATGATTATGACGTCCCATTCGTTGACGAACAGCGCTTCCGCCAAAGCTTCCAGATAGTCGATACGTCTTAATTTGGACGCGTGCATTGAACCCCGTTTTACGCTACGTTCGGAAAATACCAGAAATCGCGGACACCACTACGACGCCGACGACGTGAGTAAATGCCGGTAAATCCGCTCTCAATTGCCTTTTTTGGGGGGGAGACTGATGAGATTATTTTTATCGCGTTCGCAATCGTGACAGGTGCCAGCTCCCTACCTCCCTTCTGTCTTCTCCCTGCTCTGCCACCCATCCTGGATCGTGGTGCGGAGAGATCTCCAGGAGCGTCGAAATGCTGGCCTCAGTCGGTGAACGACGAGACCGGGGGACGCCTATTTCGGAACGGATCAATGCATGACAGGATAATTCATTCATGATTGCGTTTCCTCCCTAGGCCGTAGTCGAGGGGATGGGGGTTGGGGTAACATGTTTACTGAATCAGTTCCGCGACATGCACGCAGCGTGTATATAATATATACTCGCGCTGCTCGCTGGGGGCTCCGCCCCCAGACCCCCGCATGTGTGGAGCGCGTGCCGGAGTATTTAGTAAGTCCGTGGTGACCAAAGGCAACTTTTCTAAGGAAGTAAATGTCCTGCTTCTTTGAAAGCTCTATTTAACCGCTTTTGACCATATAATAAGGCTACTTTTACTGCCCAAATACATAGCTTGTATTGCATTGGCTACTGTGGCAGTCAATGGGTGCAGGGGCATTCCACGCCGGTTCATCCGGGACCCCAAATTTCACACCTCGGATTTGGGTTCTGGTGACTTTTTCTTGAAGTAATCATCACTAACAACAAAACCATAAAACAGTTTTCCAAAATTTCAATTTGTATGGGAGATATGGCCAAAAGAAAATTTCAAAATCACACATTTAAAAAAAATATAAAAAAATTTTTTAGAATTTTTTTGTTTGCTTTTTTAATGGTGTGGTGGTCTAAAATAAAGAATGAAAACCCATCTTGGGTCATACGTCTCACCAGTTGGGTAAAAAAGCTGAAAAACATAAAAAAAGTTACGCGTTTTGGATTTCTCAAAAACTGCGTCTCCAGATTTCAACCAAATTTTTTTCTAAGGAAGGCCTAATGGTGCTCTAGGATGCCTCAAAATATTAGGACTGGCAATGGAAAAGGATCTGAGATAAACGACATTTTGTGTTGCGATACTTCAAAAATCAGGAAATATCGACTCGTAAGATACAGTCAAGTTCATACAAAGCAGTTCTGAGACATCAAAAGTTGTTCAGAATTATGAGGTTTGTTTCCAGACGACATGGGAGTCCATGAGGTACAATAAGAACAGTCTTTTTATCCATTGAAATTTTGTGACACTCTTAAATAAAATTTACACGACCAAACTGTTATCAACGGGTGATGACATATCAAGGCATGGGTGAGAAACAGTGTGTCAGAAGTGCACACCTAGATATGCTTGTAAGCAGTTACTAGGCCTTAAAATCTCTAAACATACCTTTTATCTTACATACCTTACACCTGACTAGGTGTGCTCTTACACCTGACAAACTGCTTCTCACCCATGCCTTGACATGTCATCACCCGTTGATAACAATTTGGTCGTCTAAATTTTATTTAAGAGTGTCACAAAATTTCAATGGATAAAAAGACTGTTCTTATTGTACCTTATGGACTCTCATGTCATCTGGAAACAAACCTCATAATTCTGAACAACTTTTGATGTCTCAGAACTGCTTTGTATGAACTTGACTGTATTTTACGAGTCGATATTTCCTGATTTTTGAAGTATCGCAACACAAAATGTCGTTTATCTCAGATCCTTTTCCCGAGGGGGTAAACACTTCAAGAAATCGTGTACAGACTACTCGGTATTACGCTGTATTACGGTGTATTACACGTGTATTACGGCTTTAAAATGCCAAAATTTGGCTTATTTGATCCAAAAATGGTATTACGATCTCGTGTATTACGCGTAATACACGGTTTTGGTGTACAGGGTATTACGCGAGTGGTTACCCCCTCGCCTTTTCCATTGCCAGTCCTAATATTTTGAGGCATCCTAGAGCACCATTAGGCCTTCCTTAGAAAAAAATTTGGTTGAAATCTGGAGACGCAGTTTTTGAGAAATCCAAAACGCGTAACTTTTTTTATGTTTTTCAGCTTTTTTACCCAACTGGTGAGACGTATGACCCAAGATGGGTTTTCATTCTTTATTTTAGACCACCACTCCATTAAAAAAGCAAACAAAAAAATTCTAAATTTTTTTTTTATATTTTTTTTAAATGTGTGATTTTGAAATTTTCTTTTGGCCATATCTCCCATACAAATTGAAATTTTGAAAAACTGTTTTATGGTTTTGTTGTTAGTGATGATTACTTCAAGAAAAAGTCACCAGAACCCAAATCCGAGGTGTGAAATTTGGGGTCCCGGATGAACCGGCGTGGAATGCCCCTGCATACAAGGTCCGGAAAATATTGAAGACTGCTTTGACAAGGATAGAGGTGAAACGAAAAAAACCTTAGGTCTCTACGACCACTCCTTGACCCCAAACATTTCTTTGAGTGAGTAAGTGAGTGAGTGAGTCAGTCAGTCAGTCGGATTGGGGCTATAAAGATTCTTGATGATGATGATTGCCCAATTGCCGGTGGCGGGGTCCCGATTACGGCACAGTTTCGGAAATTCTCGACCAGACCTACCGATGGGGCGAATAAAATTTTTTAGTCATTCGGTCCCCTTTTTAGAAGATTGAGTAGGTTTGCTCGGAAACAGTGAGAAATTTTCAACTTTTGAGATGTTTCTCAAATAATCCATTAAATTTGGAATCGAATGAAAAAACCCGCACGTCTCTAGGACCACTCCTTGACCCAAAACATTTCTATGAGTGAGTGAGTCAGTCGGATTGGGGCTATATAGGTTCTTGATTGATGAGTGAGGGAGTCAGTCAGTCGGATTTTGGGGCTTTATATGTTCTTGATGACAATTGATGATTGATTTTGAGGATGTTGCCGGTGACGGGGACCCGATTGCGGCACAGTTTCGGAAATGTCTCGACCAGACCTACCAATGGGGCGACTAAAAATTTTTAGTCGGTCGGTCCCCTTTTTTGAAGATTGAGTGGATTTTGTTGAATGAATTTAGGCCTATTTAATCGTTTTTGAGGATGTTGCCGGTGACGGAGACCAGATTGCGGCACAGTTTCGGAAATGTCTCGACCAGACCTACCGATGGGGCGAATAAAAATTTTTAGTCGGTCGGTCCCCTTTTTTGAAGATTGAGTGGATTTTGTTGAATTTAGGCCTATTTAATCGTTTTTGAGGATGTTGCCGGTGACGGGGACCCGATTGCGGCACAGTTTCGGAAATGTCTCGACCAGACCTACCGATGGGGCGAATAAAAATTTTTAGTCGGTCGGTCCCCTTTTTTGAAGATTGAGTGGGTTTTTTTGAATTTAGGCCTATTTAATCGTTTTTGAGGGTGTTGCCGGTGACGGAGACCCGATTGCGGCACAGTTTCGGAAATGTCTCGACAAGACCTACCGATGGGGCGTATAAAAATTTTTAGTCGGTCGGTCCCCTTTTTTGAAGATTGAGTGGATTTTGTTGAATTTAGGCCTATTTAATCGTTTTTGAGGATGTTGCCGGTGACGGGGACCCGATTGCGGCACAGTTTCGGAAATGTCTCGACCAGACCTACCGATGGGGCGAATAAAAATTTTTAGTCGGTCGGTCCCCTTTTTTGAAGATTGAGTGGATTTTGTTGAATTTAGGCCCATTTAATCGTTTTGGAGGATGTTGCCGGTGACGGAGACCCGATTGCGGCACAGTTTCGGAAATGTCTCGACCAGACCTACCGATGGGGCGAATAAAAATTTTTAGTCGGTCGGTCCCCTTTTTTGAAGATTGAGTGGATTTTGTTGAATTTAGGCCTATTTAATCGTTTTTGAGGATGTTGCCGGTGACGGGGACCCGATTGCGGCACAGTTTCGTAAATGTCTCGACCAGACCTACCGATGGGGCGATTAAAAATTTTTAGTCGGTCGGTCCCCTTTTTTGAAGATTGAGTGGATTTTGTTGAATTTAGGCCTATGTAATTGTTTTTTGAGGATGTTGCCAGTGACGGAGACCCGATTGCGGCACAGTTTCGGAAATGTCTCGACCAGACCTACCGATGGGGCGAATAAAAATTTTTAGTCGGTCGGTCCCCTTTTTCGATGATTGAGTGGGTTTGCTCGGAAACTGTGAGGAATTTGGTCCGCTTTTTGGAAGATTAAGTAAGTTTGCTCGGAAACGGTTAGGAATTTTCAACTTTTGGGATTTTTCCCAATTTTCCCATAAAATTTGGAATCGAATGGAAAAAACCGCATGTCTCTACGACCACTCCTTGACCCCAAACATTTCTATGAGTGAGTGAGTCAGTCAGTCAGTCGGATTGGGGCTATATAGGTTCTTGACAAATCTTATTTTCACGCAGCGTGTCTCCAAGGCCCAGTTTTATTATTTACACGCAGGGAAAGTTTTGCTGCGTGTAAATAATATTTTGGCTTTTATTTAAACGCTGCGTGTCTCCAAGACACCAAAAAATTATTGGCGCGCAGGATTGTAAAAAGTCTTCCGACCGGTGACTGAGTCCGGCATGGCGGCTTGGTGGGTGAGTGGGTCCGTGCTTGCACGGGAATTTTTTGGCCCGGGTTCGAGACTTCGCCTTTTTCTCAAAAAATTTCTGCGTGTCAATAATGAAAACCGGTGTTGTTTCAACGCTGCGTGTTTATAATAAATTCACATGTAATTTACACGCAGCGTGTCTGCAATTCCAGTTTTTTTTATTTACACGCAGGAAAAGTTTTGCTGCGTGCAAATAATAATTTGGCTTTTATTTAAACGCTGCGTGTCTCCAAGACACCAAAAAATTATTGGCACGCAGGATTGTAAAAAGTCTTCCGACTGGCGACTGAGTCCGGCATGGCGGCTTGGTGGATGAGTGGGTCCGTGCTTGTACGGGAATTTTTTGGCCCGGGTTCGAGACTTCGCCTTTTTCTCAAAAAATTTCTGCGTGTCAATAATGAAAACCGGTGTTGTTTCAACGCTGCGTGTTTATAATAAATTCACATGTAATTTACACGCAGCGTGTCTGCAAGACCCAGTTTTATTATTTACACGCAGAAATGTTTTGAGAAAAAGGCGAAGTCTCGAACCCGAGTCAAAAAAATTCCCGCACAAGCACGGACTCACTCATCCACCAAGCCGCCATGCCGGACTCAGTCGCCGGTCGGAAGACTTTTTACAATCCTGCGCGCCAATAATTTTTTGGTGTCTTGGAGACACGCAGCGTTTAAATAAAAGCCAAAATATTATTTGCACGCAGGAACATTTTGTCCCACATGGCCACCGTAGGTGGACGTCTGAGGGGAAAAATCCTGCGTGTCAATAATTTTTTTTTGTTATGTGCACGCTGCGTGTACATAAAGTCCAATTTTATTATTTAAACGCTGCGTGTATATAATATTAGTCTTTCATAATTGAATGTTTGTGTGCAAATTCCTGCACGTTGCCGTTTCTTGTGGTGATTTAACAGAAGAACTCATCTCAGAAGTGTATTCAATTCAAGGAATAAACATACCTTTTCGCTTAGAAACTCTTTATTTATAAAATAACCGGGAGGGGGAATATTCACCTGCGTCGACGCTACAAAAAGCTCCTCTCGGGCAAAAATCTATTGACATATGCAAGACCGTGACCTCCAATCGCACTTTCCACGCCCATGGTACCCCTGAGCCCAGCAGTACCCAATACAATGGCCGTCAAACGTGCACGGGCTGCAAGTACACTGCATGTTATAACAGCTTCCATGGTTTGGGCCGAAGCCGAAGGATTGGCAGATGATGTTGCAGTTCTCGGTGTTTCCGCAGATGATTGGGAACTTGCCTTGGGTCCGTTCACCTGAATCAGAAGGGCAAATCAAATTGTGCAAGAAAAATTGTGAATAGTACAACAAAAGTACAACAAAAACTGTACAACAAAAAATTGAACAGGGACTGTAGAAAGTACAACGAGAATTGTACAAACCAGAACGAGGCCTGGACTGCACAGCACTCGTCATGCTTGTTCCATTGTGCTTTGTACAACAATTGTTGTTGTACTTTGAGAGTACAATAAATTCCTGAGAAAAAAATTGCCTGAAATTTAATGTGTACTTCTGGTTTTTCTAAGAGTGTACCGTTTTAAGTAAGTTTAATATTAGTTCTGGTCAAAGAGAGATTAAATGAAAACTGCTGTTCACTATGTTTACCTTCCAGCGCTTTTTGTGCCCTCTGTTCCGTAGACGCGCACGCTGCCGCCAGCAATAGGGCAGAGAAGAGGATGGCAACCGCCTGCATTGTAGTTGTCTCGAATCACGTCGAAGATTTTCCAAGCTGCCTTGCTTCACGATGCAGGAAATGACGGTGGCAGTCGCCTTTATACCAGCAACGAGGAAAGGAGCAGGAAAAGGACGCCAATATCTCAGACGAGATAAGATTTTAAAAATAAAACCACCACAGCGAGAGCGCGACGAATTCGGGTCAGTTTTCCTGTTCCGTGAAACTCGTCTTGGGCCCTCTTTGCCAGAGTCCTTTGGGTCGACATAAGGCTCTGATATCAACGAAAGAGTGCATAAAGAACGTCGAACGATGTCCTTCGGGTCGTTCGAACAAAGACCGATTCTGGATTAGCCTTTTATTGAACACTGGTAAAACAAAGGCATAAAAATTATGCCCTTCGGGGCATAAATAATCTTTTACGCCCTTACAAGGGCATAAATCTTTTTTATGCCCTGGGGAAGGGCGTAAATGGTATGGGAATTTCAAGCTAAATGCCCTTCCTAAAGGCATTCACGATTTATGCCCTGTAAGGGCGTAAATCGTTTACGCCCTTAAAGGGCATAATTTTTATGCCTTTGTTTCACCAGTGAACTCGCGCGGTTGCTGAAGGACATCCGACACATGTGTACCGGTTTGGTTTCAAATGGATGAATCGAAACGTGTCAAATTTTTTGAAACCTCAAAATGCACACTTACTTCAAAATGTCACTGCGTCACGCAATAAGTTTTAATGCTGCAACGGATGCGATAATACACGACATTATAGAAATATCAGTGCATTGGTTGTGATATCACGAAATACAGATTTAAATAAAAAGATAAAACAATTGAGACGGAATAAAGAGAGACATTTACGTATCTTTTTTCATAAAATGTTCCATGCCTTCTACAGTTGCGCCAACTAGATGCTTCTGCTGCATCAAATAATGAGGTGCCATTTGGACAGTATCTTACTTCAGGACTTTTCAAATTTTAACCTACCCCGTTCTACGGTATACCCTTTTTCCATGTGGATTTTCTCCTAAACCTTGGAATTCAGTCAAATAATTTGGTGTAATGATGTAAACCATTCTAAGGCACAATAATAAAATAAAAACTCAATTTGAGGATAAGTCAAGTTATTCCCTTCTTCCGCTTCCTGGATCATTTGTCACTTGACACTCTTCATCTCCCATCCGCAACTGAGTCCGAGGCAGTGGAAGGAGGTCTAAGAAAATTTTACTCTCCCAACCCGAATAGAGCCTGGGGCAATTGCAATGGAGTCACGTCAGGAAATCGAGATCGGCCTTTGACCCAGCGACGCAACGGACATCAATGTTAAATCGATAATCGATCTAAAGGGCATCGGTCTCTGTTGATAGAACCCTGTACGCCCATCGTCTTCCATTGCGGTGGGGTACTGTGCGAAAGATAAGTGCGCCACTGCTCGGTATTTTTGTTAGCTGTACTCCGTGCCGACAAGCAGAGCGCCGTCTGCTGCCGATAACTCGCGCAGGTGTTGTTCAAGTCGAGTAGTTTGTTGATTTCCAGTTTAATAAACATCCAAGGTGTCGCGGATGTCAGGTTTTCAATGACTGTTCACTCAGAGTTGTTACATCTTATTGCGTTTTTATTCACGTCTTCAGGAAGTTCTGAGAGCGGTGCACTGAGGATGCCAATTAAGCCCAGGTGCTGACTGGCCAGGCGGTGGACCTAACTCCGTACTCTCCATTCACAATCTCCCATCCCAGGTTCGTCAGCTCGCCGGCAGGGCCGGTGGCGAGGTCCATGTTGGCCGTGTCTGCGTTGTTGCCGTACCAGGACCTACAACAAAGCGGCACGTGCAGAAATGACCATGGCCAGACACTCGTGGAGCCGAAAAGAAGAGGATCATCTGTGGACCGAGCTATTTCAAATCAAGAAGGGGATCCGAGACTTCAGTGAAGAGGTCAGCCCCACCAGATGATGCTAGTCATTAAGTCGTCTTCAAATTGGCCTCCTGGTAAACGGAGATGTGCGCCAAAAATGCCCCATCACTGGGGGTTTACCCCACTCTCTTTCTCACGCACATACTCCTGGGAACTCACCAAGCGATCCAGCCGACAGATCGCTGACGGCAGTAAGACATGATGGTCTTGTAGTCGACGGGCTTGCCTGTCTGGGCGTCACTGAACTCCCCGATGATGAGGGGCACGCCGATGGCCAGGCTGTTGTCGATGTGGCGCTTGACAGTGGCCTCGTCCTGGCCGGCCACCTCGTACATGTGGATGGAGAAGATGGTGTTGCGAAGGGGATCCGCCTGAAACGAAGGATTGATGAATTCACGTGATCCCACCGGAGTCAGACCATGATTCGCCATTAGCTGTCTTTGGAGTCTGAGCCAAATTTCGGCTATTGTCTGAAGTCAATTTCAAGGCAAGTTTACATTCCTAGAATGTCATGTCGTTCATCACCAACTTGTGGTGACATTATCCCTAATTTGTGACAAAAATATCATTCAACGAACGTTAATGAAAGCAGATGATACTCGTTTGGTTTTCTTCTAGGTAGTATTTCGGGATTATTCATAATTGTGTATGAAATGAAATAGATGGCCCAATAAAATACATAGACCTAAGCGAGCTGGACAGTGTTGGTGCGAGCCGTGCGAGCCGAGCTGTGGTTTGCACCGCCGCGCCGTGCCTCGAGCGCGCTGAGCCGTGCCGAGCCGTGAGGCATTGTTGCTGTTCCGTGCACTGTACCCAGGGAGGGACTGTGCGAGAGGGGGGAGGGCATTGTTGGCCGGTGCCGCTCGCGCTGTACCCGGAGGAGGAGTTGTCGATGCGTCGCGCAGGCTGTGCCTCACTCATTCACTCACCAGCCCGCCCGGGCAGCCAGCCCCCATTATTGTTAGGATACAGCCTTGGTTTCTGGACTCTCGAGTAAAAGCTAGCTGACACCTTTAAGTGTTTTATATTGTTCTAGGTACGTTTTAAAGTACTAAAGGTATCATCTGCTAAAAAGACATCATTTGCAAAATGCCATAGTTCAAAAGTTGTGAAAATGTCAGCATTAAAAGTGGTGAAAATATCGTCACGTGAAAGTGATGAAAACGTCATAATTTCATTTTGGTCCTTAAGTGACAGCAACTTTTCAAGGCGAAGGGTCTCTGCTCACCTCGAAGACGGAGCGGCCCTTCTGGGCGATGACGGCGGCGTCCTGGCCCCAGCCTGCGGCGTCCACCACGATGAGGTGCTTCAGGCCGGCGCTGCGGAGCCGGGGCAGCACGGAGCGGTAGGCGGAAGCCCACTCCTCGGCCTGCACACCGACCAACCAACCACATCAATATGAAGGAAGGAACAGAACTATTTCCGGGTATTTCAAATGCATATCTCCACTTTGCCTTTTGTTTTGGACATCAGCGGGTTTACCTTAAAGCAATGCTCTAGAGTCTTTCCGATGCAAAGATCTCTAAAGAAAACTACATTTGTTTTCATTTTCTTTGTTGTCTGAGGTATGCTCTCTGAGCGCAAATATTGGAAGCAAACGAAATCCGCACAATTGTTACTGCGCGAACACCGAGGGCAAAGAATTTAAAACTTCGTTATACCGTTCGATGTTTATATTTTCTACAGTGTTTGGATAAGTATTGGCTGAGGGGGGAGCAACTTAAATTTTGGTGTCTACCCTCCCCGTGAAACGTCGTTGAGACAACGCCGAAATAGCGTGAAGTAACGCCATACCCATGAAGTAAATCTAAAATTACGATGTCCATTTTTTTAAAGTTGTTTGACCCATCGTCAGGGCAACTAACTCCAGAATAATTTCCCAAGTTACCTTTCCAGAGGAGCCGTGCCACTCGTTGGCGACGTTGATGATGACGCGGTCCTCCAGTCCCCGCAGTGTGTCGGCCAGGCTGATCCAGTAGTCGGCGGCGCGGTTCAGCGCAGACACGTCGTCGGAGCCCGTGGCGTCGTGCACCTGGTGGACGCGGGAAAAAATAAAGCGTATGTATAAATATGCTTCATTCAAGCTATGTCTTGTCAAGTTTTGAGTGGACCTGAAAGTTTCGCCAAAATATGCACACCCATTCCAGGAACGTGACATCACGTTGAAACGAACGTGACAAAATGTCACGTTCGTTTGAGCATTGTGTCACGTTCGTTTGAATGTGAACAAGCTGATTTTGGCCAATTCACACCCAAACGAATGTGACACAATGCTCAAACGAGCATGATATTTTGTCACGTTCGTTTCAACGTGATGTCACGTTCCTGGAATGAGAGTGTGGTCACACAATGTCTCACCCACCATGAAATGGTGAAACTATTTTGTCTCACCACGTGGTCGGAATTTTAAACCCAGTGCGTCCGGTCTGAGCATTTTTGCGGCCAGACATTGAAGTGTGACCCCATTTTAGCGAGACGTTCATATCGGGCCACAACTTGGCAACACTTTTTGCCTCGACACAATTTAGCACTGAGTTTCCTTTACATTTCTCTAAACGCTACGCTTCGGTTCTAGTGCCCATTCGCGAATTGTTACTTCGAACACTGGCCCACCTCCAGCATGGCGACCAGGTGGTTCTGGCGGCACAGGTCCAGCAGGCGCTGCACGGTGGCGGCGTCGTCCTTGTAGTACGTGTCCCCGTTGGACAGCACGATGCGCACCACGTTGACCCCCGTGCGCGCGATGGCCGGGATGGACTTCTCGGCGTCGTCCTTGAACCAGGAGTGGGCGTAGTTGATGCCCCTCATGACGAAGCCGTAGCCCTTGCCGTCCAGGATCTGCGTTCCTGCAAGAGGAAGAGGGCAGCATCAGGACGTTTGTGAAGCGAGAAAATATTTTAGGAAGCTCATGTACAATGTGTTGGGAATCAAGATTAAATCTTAAGTGAATATCGTTCAACAATCAAAATGACAACAGCGAAGTGAATTCTCTGCAAAGCCGGTGGTATATTTACTTGCCACAAATTTGGCAAGCCGGTCTGAATGCCAGAAATTAACAAGCTTGGCCCGGAAATACCCCACAGGTTGCCAAAATTTGGCAAGCTTATGAAGATTTCTGACCAAAGCTTACCAAATTTTGGCATTCAAAACGGCTTACCAAATTTGTGGCAAGAAAACTTA